AGATCTGTCCTGATGCTCGTGGTGAGTCTTCATGCTCCTTGTACCAGGTGTAGTTAGCTGCTGGGTTAGCATCAGCGCTACAGGTCAGAGTCACTGAACCGCCCTCCAGCATCTCAGCAGAGGGACTCACTGACACAGAGGGACGCTGTGGACCATCTGGAGGAGAAGTGTCAACATATTGTTACAAGTTAGAGTTCAATAAATAGACGTTCATAACAAAACACTACCTCAGTAGTGATTATGTTGCTTTTAAAAAGGTTGTTTCACTCACATTTCACGTCGATAGAGATGAAGTCAGACGTCTTCCTCCCCAGCTGGTTCTCAGCTGTACAGGAATACAATCCAGAGTCAGAGGACTGGATGGAGCTGAAGACCAGCTGAGGTTCTTCACTGAGAAGACGAGGGTCTGACGTTCCATCCTGCTTGTACCAGGTGTAGTTAGCTGCTGGGTTAGCATCAGTGCTACAGGTCAGAGTCACTGAATCGCCCTCCAGCATCTCAGCAGAGGGACTCACTGACACAGAGGGACGCTGTGGACCATCTGGAGGAGACGTGAATAAACATACTAAGAGGTTAGAAGATGTTAGCGTAGATAGTTGATCATTTGAATGAATACTTGTGTGTCTTTCTCTCAGACTATCTCTAGTATTCATCACAGCAGCTGTCACAGGTGAGACTCCTGCTGGTGTAAAGTGACAATGAGCAGCCTTTAATCCTTTGTAATGTTCATATCTCCACACATTCTTCTCTTTAGATGCTGCTTGTGTCCTTAGCTGAGTCTGTCCTCTCACTTCTAGTTGTTGTAGGAGTTATTGATTGTTTCCTCCACCAGCTGACACGTCACTTCTACTTATGTTCTGGAATAATTCACTTGAGTCTTTATGAAAATCACATTATTCTGTCTGCTGATGGTTTATATTTGTGTTTCTATTAATAAGAGAATGACATAAATAAAGATCTGTGTCTCCTTTAACATTTAGACTCCAGTGTGTTTACAGCTGTGATTAGAATCATATTGTTGTGTCAGTGTGTGAGTGACTCTTCTACACGTAGACTGCAGGGGCCGGGGATTGAACCAGCAACCCTCTGGTCAGTGGACCACGGCTCCTCCTCCTGAGGAACGTTGTGCTTCATCTTTTTGATGCCTCTAGTTTACATGCAGCGGTCTGGTGCCTCCATGTGAGATGTTGTTGAAGCTCCACAGGCCGACACAGTGGAGTGAACTTACACACTGCAGGAGAACGTTGATCCCAATATCCTCCTAAATAACAGGAATATCTGTCTGTAGAACCAGAGGAGACTGGAAGAGAAGATCCTGTCTTGATGATCTCTCCATTCTTGTACCAGACGTATTCAGGACGACCAGACAGAACACAGCTGCTGTGACACGTCAGCTCCAACCAGGTAGAATCTGATCTTCTCACCTGCACCTGGAGACCTGAATCAGTGAATATTATTTATTACAGTGTCAACATTCACAGAAGACATTTATACTCTAGTTTTCTAGATGTTGAACATTTGTAGATGATTAATATGTGAATTAAAATGTTACCTGTGACATTCAAAGTGACTCCAGGTGAACCAGTATATTTCTCTCCTGGTTTGTTTGTCATGAATCTGAATTTGTACTCAGCTGAGTCGCTCTCTCTCACGTCTGTGATGATCATATAACAACTCTTACTATAACATGTGTGCTTCACACGGCCTGAATACTCAGAGTCTGTTCTCAGATCCACATGTTCACCATCTTTCTCTTTAGTGAACCAGAATCTGTCCTTTATATCCAGGTGATCTTTTCCAGGTGGGTGTGTGATGTCACAGATTATAAACACTCTTGATCCTTTTGCAGCACAGACGTCAGTCTGATCGTAATTCACTCTCCATCCATCCTGACTCTGTATCACTGTAACACAGCACATCAGGAACCACAGTCACACTCAGAACAACATCACAGGACACACTCTCATTGGTAGTTTACTGAAGAGAAAAGATATTATGAGAAATATGAAAATCTTTGAGTTTATAGAAAGTAATGAAAGAGTCCACGATGTCCACATGGACTCTGCAGCTGGAAGGAACAGCGACGTATTGAACCTGTGGACCTGAAAAAGCTCAAGTTGAAGTATTAGAAGGGTTTGGTTGATGAGAAGAAGAGTGTCTTTGCTCTGTGCTCTTCTGTCTGTGGTCAGTCTGCTGCAGAGTGGAGATGGAAACTGTAGAGAAATGCAGAACTCTGAGGGGAACGATACTGTGACATATAGGTCAAACCTCACTGATGACACCACAGAGAGCCTTCACATCTTCCGCCGCAAACTCAAGACACACCTCTACAGACTCTACCTCGACTAAAGACAAACAGATTGCAGCACTTAAATTGTACTTGTAACGTCACTCATCTATAGCAAATTGTAAATTGGCTTATTTGAGGAAATTGCACTTTCTTGTTTCTTGTTCTCCTGAGTTTGTACCCTATGGTTGAATGCACTTATTGTACGTCGCTTTGGATAAAAGCGTCCGCTAAATGACATGTAATGTAATGTAATGACACGGATCAAAGCTACAAAATGTCCCTCACAGAGACACTGAACAACCAGGAAGAGAATAAAAATGACCACAAATACACAATAAAATCCTCCAATAAGAAGAACAAACGTCGTCAGAGACTCGGAGTGAATAACAGCCTCTAAATGTGGTCTAATGCAAAGAAACGCTGCTGAACGATTAGAGGAAGTTCAACAGAGACAAATTATTCAGAGCATTTCTTCTTTGTTAATGTTCATTTAGTCATTATTTGTGTGTGATGACATCAGACCTGTGTGTGAAGTAAAAACACAGCTCCCTGTGTGTGTGTGAGGTGTGTAACGGCCTCACAATATAAATGTAGAAGTACAGTACCTTGTACAGAGAGAAGGAAGACGACTAATCCACCGGCTGATGGACTCATAGCTGCTCCTCTGTGTTCAATCAGCAGATCAGAAACTCTTTATTCAGTAAGTCACCAGAAACACGTCTACATTAAAGAGGAGGCTGATGTCTCTGAGGTCAGCTCGTCTCTTCTGGAGTTGGTAACAAGCTGCTGTTCATCCCCAGCAGAGCTTCCTTCCTGTTTCCGTCATTAGTGTGCATGAGCTGCAGAACAAGAAGCTGCTTTAATGTTAACGTCTTACTTCTGCTAAAAGGAAACATCATAAAAGTGTTGTTAATATGTGAAGATCATCTTGATGAACCTGTAAGCAGCATAAACGTCTCTTCATTCTCTGTAATAATTCACATTAAGTGAAAGGCTGCAGTGTGACGTCCTCCTGTTAACATGTAGATAAATATGTCCTCTCTGCAGCTCTTCATACGTCTTCCTCACATTCACTGCAGGACACAAACAACACAAACAAGCTGTCAACTCACACAAATGTTGCTTTATTCATTTATTGTTCACACATTTCCATTACAATATGAACGTGTCTGTTGAGGACAGTGTGTAGTGTTTAGTGACATCTAGTGGTGAGGTTGCAGACTGCAGCCTCCTCCCTTTAAGTCCTTCAGGTAACGTGGAGATGAAAAAGGCTCCCAGTGAACATATGAAGCGCTCCTCTAAAAAAACTTCTTAGTGATGAAAACATGGTTATTGATGGGAAGATTAAAACAAGCTTCAGACAGTTTGGGGGGCAGGTGCTCAAACCAAAAGGGCAGAAGTGTCTTTCTGCTTTTGGAGTCTCTCTTCTCTTTGCATTAAGCTGCACATTCTGTGAATGAGATCAATTAATGTTGTGCACAATAATCAAAAGTTGACAACACACACAAATATTTTTGTAAGCATAAGCATCATTACACTAATAATACACCAGACTGTAGCCCAACTTAAGACCTAGCTCTTAATTTGTAGAAATGTAAAACTGCCTTTAAATTCTCTGCCTGTCTGTCACGTTTAATGAAGAGAGAGATACAAACGTCAGTAAACAGCTGGACGAGGAGTTTTTTGTTTGTATGTTTTTTGGGAAACGTTGGACCAGTTGTGACGTCATGTTTTCACCGACGCCAATGTTGCATCTGTGCACGTGATGGTGGTTCTATGTGATGGTAGTTCTATCTGATGGTGGTTCTATCTTATGGTGATTCTATGTGATGGTGGTCCTATCTGATGGTGGTCCTATGTGATGGTGGTTCTATGTGATGGTGGTCCTATGTGATGGTGGTCCTATGTGATGGTGGTTCTATTTGATGGTTGTTCTATCTTATGGCGATTCTATGTGATGGTGGTTCTATCTTATGGTGGTTCTATATGTATTACAATTACAGGTTTTACAATATTGTCATAACTTTATTGATGACACAGTTTCAGAATCATGGCTGTATTCTGGTGTAAACTATATGCATTTTATTCATTTCATGAACCGGGTCGTCAGTTTATTTCTAATATCCTACATGATCCAGCGTGTTCTCCTCTCTGGTGGGCATTTAATAAACTGTCTGTACTTAGGAAGTTGATGGGTGAGATTTCCTTAGTTAAAGTCCCCGAGGACAATAACTAAAGAGTCCGGGTTGGTCCGCTCCACACGCCGTATCTGGTCGGCGAGTGTCCGCTGAGCCTCGTGCACGTTGCCCGCCGGCGGCATGTAAACACCGACCAGGATGAATGAAGCGAACTCACGGGGGGAATAAAAGGGTTTGCTGTTGATGGAGAAAGTTTCCAGATCAGGAGAACAGTGTTTTGGGGTCACCGTTACGTCGTTGCACCAGCTGCTGTTGGAGTAGAAGCAGATTCCTCCACCCTTCGTCTTGCCGGAGAGCTCCGTGTCGCGGTCCGCTCGGAGCAGCTGGAAGCCCGCCAGCTGGAGCGCGGAGTCCGGTATCGATCCGCAGAGCCACGTCTCCGTGAAGCACAAGACGGAGGATGTAGAGAAGTCTCCGTCTCTCCTCACCAGCAGCTGTATTTCCTCCAGTTTGTTGCACAGTGAGCGCACGTTGGAGAGAAAGATGCCCGGCAGCGGAGTGCGAGAACCACGCCTGCGGAGTCTCACAAACAGTAGTCAAAAACGTGTAACTTATCATAATCACCTTCAATTTCATCCTGGTTTTCTTTTGCTGTAACTTCAAAAGGCTTTTTCCAGATTAGTGTCTGGATGGACAAACAATGTGCTGGATTGATGAGCAGCACGTTTCTCCTTCAATGAACTGAACCTTTGCTTTCATTCTTAAGTGGAATACGGACTGCAGCCCATCACACCAGTTTAACATGAAGATGAGAAGGACGAGGTGAAGCTGAGCTCTGGCCTGAAGAGGTATTACGTCAATGTTTGTTAGCAGAGAGAATGACATTCTTCTTTATATTGTGGCAACCCACGAAGCAGCACCCTGGACAGCGCCTCAAGAGATCAGCACCAAGGTCTGGGGCACCGACGAGCCAGAGGTCAGGTGAGAAGGGGAAACGCCCCCCCGCCCCCCCCCACACTATAAAGGACCACCCATTCATGCAGCGTGGGGAACTAGACGTATATTAGATGGGCTCACGCTGGGGGGGTTTTGGAATGAGTGTAAATCCTGTTTTTCTGTGCTTCCCGCAGGAAGGGGACTGAAGGGCGAACAGCCTGTTGAACCGAGGCCTCAAAAGAGGAAGAAACTATTTTGCCCTTTTCCTTTTTTTGTATGTCAACACGTTAACGGGACCCTTTTTTTGTGTGCAGCTGGTCGTGTATCCGAGTCCTGTGATGTCACCCACACCCGTTGGTTGCCACAATATATATATATGTATATATATATATACATATATATATATATATATATATATATATATATATATATATATGTATATATATATGTACTGACATAATGACGCAGTACTCGTTCAATGGACACAGATTAAGCCCTTTAATATTTATCTGCATAAGATATTTAAGAACAAGTTACTGTTCTCACGCAGAAGGACGTATTAGAATGTGACTCAAAGCTGAAGTCACTCAGTGAGTGTTACACACTAAATGAAGAGATGTCCACATGTGAATCTGATTGTTACTGTTCATTTATTTTCCTGTCAGGATGTTGGATTATTGCTCATTCAGGTTTATCGTTGGCTTGAACCTAAAGACAAAAGTTGACTGAATATTCTCCCCTTAAGTTCTCAGTGTGCTCTTCTATTCTATTGCTGAATTAAATCCACCCTGATTGTGTGTGTATCCAGGGACTCATTTTGATTTCAGAAGTGGGGGGGGGGGCACAAGTATTTTTAATCAAACAAGCAGTTCTTCTAGTGTTCTACTGCTACTGTTCCCTTTTTGGTTTGACTGGTTGTAAAGCATGTAGCAAAACATTATCATTCTGTGTTTCACCTTGTTAGTCATCTTCACTCCAACTCAGTAGCACCTATTTCACACTTACAGTGGCGGAGTAACAGGGACTCCTCGAGGCAACTAGCAGACCGGTTTACAACCTGATGACAGCGGGGACGGCCAATCACACGAGCAACAGCAGAGCCAATGGAGGAGCTGGTGGGCGGGTCTAAACCAGTGACGAAATTTGACGAACATTTTTTGTTAACGAACCTTTTTTCCATGACTAAGACGAGACTAAGACGATCTTAAAAAATAAAAACTATGACTAAATCTTAACTTTCGTTAACGAGACGAGACGAACATGTTGGTGGTTGAGGAAGTCACGATACTTTTTCCCCCTGAATTCGCACGCAGCTGACAGACAACAGACAGGCAAAGTACGGCGGTGTTACGTACAGTGCTCTACGGGTAGTAGGTCTACAGATGTGCTGTTCTGTTTTGTGTTGTTGGTTTGGTTTTGTCTCCCCCTTCTGTTTCCATTCTCTCACTTCACAGATGTGCACACCTGGTTCCCCTCATCCAATCACCACAGCTGTTCCAGATCTCCCATCAACCGTTCCCCTTCACAGAGTCAATGTTTGTTCTCAGTGGGGAGGCTCTTCTGTGTTGAGCTGGGCCCGCGGTTTGAAGACCACTGTCTTGTGTTAAAATTGAATTAGTAACAGCCTACTGGTGTTTTTGTGATATCTTTTGGTTGTGCGCACAGGGTCAATGAGGACAGGTAAGATACTCCGGGGTTTACATATTGCTACACGTAGGTGTACCTGTTGTTAGTACCCTAGGCTAGAGTGAGCACCACCCACTGTATTTTTGGGTGCTAAGCACCGGTCAATGAGGGGGTGTTTATGTTCTCTTCTTGGTGCCACTGACAGTCCTTGTTGATCCCTGTGTTGCTCTTTAGAAAAACAAATACTTTGTTACGTTTCGTGTATTGGATTCTGTGTGGCTAACGCCTCACTTGCCTTGACCTGTCGCCCTTATGTTGCGCTCCGGGTCGAGCCACCAGGGAGCGTAACAGGCGGATTAACGCGTCATGACGTCATCCACGAACCCAGAACGCCCCCAGCGGTGCAGCGGTGGTTCTTGTGCACCCGACTACGGACCGCGACGACTATTTTACGCTTCGGCGAGTTTGAACGTGGCTTCGTTAGTTTAGCTCAGCGGTCTCGGGTTAGCTGCCTGTTAGCAGGCTGAAGCCGCGCTGCTTCACAGAAACATGAAGACCCGTTTAAAGACCGTCGGACCTTTCTGCTCTGTTCTCTGGCGACGACAGGCAGCGTTTCCTCGCTGGATGAGACGCTCCGTCACAAACACACGTTTAATGTAATAAACTCATTGCCGGTTCTGAAGCCAAGAAAATAATGTATTGCAGCGATTGTAGGACGTTAAGGTCTCTCTTGTTGGGACAGTGGAAACATTAAAGGAGCATGAAGTGTCAAAAGCATCGCAAGTAAAAGGAGCATGAAGTGTCAAAAGCATCGCAAGTAAACAGACAAAGACCACAAAGTGTTGCGTTTAGGTCCCTGGTCCTCATCAAGTTGTTACACCTTTGCCAATTTGTTAAATTGCCTTGCAAATAAATGCTTTGCTATTTGTTAAAATCCAAATCCTTTCATGTAATGATGTTTCACACGTCATTTATATCACCTCACACAAACACTTCCACCGTTTGTTCTTCGTCACATTTTACAACCCATTGTGGCCGCGAGTCAAAACGTTTGCCGACCTGCTATAGACCTGTCCTAGGAGGGACATCTATAGACCTGTCCTAGGAGGGACATCTATAGACCTGTCCTAGGAGGGACCTGCTATAGACCTGTTCTAGGAGGGACATATATGCAGCTGTAGACACAACACAGGGCGTCCCTGGGCCTGAGAAGGGAAGAAAAGGAGTTTAATATGGCTGTTAAATGTGACTAAAACTAATTAGATTATAGTCTAGTTTTCGACTAAAACTAAGAATTAAAATGACTAAATGTGACTAAAACTAATATGCATTTTTCGTCCTAAGACTAAATCAGAAATAGCTGCCAAAATGAACACTGGTCTAAACTGAGGGAAACAGGCTTCAGCTTGAGCGGCCCTTTTTCCGCTGGGTCCTAGTGCTTGACCCGTCTCTGTTTACCGTAGCGTAACATCGTTTTTGGACAGTAAAAACAGCAGGGGACCAAAACGGGTTTTTTAAAAGGTGCAGGGGACATGTCTCCTATGTCCTTCCCCCAATGTGATATTGTGTATTTATATTTACACTTCCTCCTGCTTAAAGATGGACGACTGACCTCCCGTCTCATCTTCAAATCAAACTGCAGAGCAGCTCTTAAATGGACGTCTGCATTTGTCATTTATAGTAAATGATAAATATTCACTGCTTAGTTTTTCACATCATAAAATAATATGTTTCACAAGCTGAATATTATCAGTGATAACTGGTTGTTCTTATCGTCCTTGTGTCTGTTGTGATGTGCTATTATTATTATTATTATTATTAGCTCCTCCTCCTCTGCTGCAGATCGTCGTCCCTCCTGAGCGTAAATACTCCGTCTGGATCGGCGGCTCCTTCTCCACCTTCCAGCAGATGTGGATCAGCAAGCAGGAGGACGAGGCCGCTCACAGCATCGTGCACCGCGAGTGCTTCTAAGGCGCTTTTCAGACACTTGATATTAATTATCAACGTTTCAGGTCAGATGATAAATGAACTTTACATGCTGCTGTTATAAATGATATTAACATTTTGACTGACTGGTAGAAACTGGTACAATGTACAATAGTATTTTCTACATATTAAACTACTTTATGTGCCGTTGAGCCTCAAACTCTGAGCCCAGTTCTCTCTGCTGCAATCTCACTAAAAGATTCCACCAAATCATTACAGATGTAGCTTTTAAATACTCACTTCGTTGTGGGACTTGTGAGTAAGATATTGTATTTAAATTAAAAAGTAGAGGCTAATTCACCCTTCATTTAAGTCTCCAAAAAATGCCCCAAAATGAAAACGCAAAGAAATCACCACGGCATAATTTTTTACAGAAACTGTCTGAAGACATTTTCATCGTTGTATTAATCAGAACGTTGCGTGATACAGAACGGAAGTGACCATTAACAGTAAAATGAGTTGAAGTTTGATTTTCTGTTTCACTCGTCGACTGATCAGGAAGTACTGGATTCACCCGCCACAATAAAGGTCACAATGGAATATCACTCTTTTTGGACATTGTTGCAAGTTTTCTTTGAGATGGAGACCATTTAACTTCTAAAATACTTTTTTTCTGCCATTTGTCCTTTAATCCGGTGAAGAAAAACTGGATAAGATGGTGATCAGTATTTCTTAAAAGCAATTTATTTATTCAATTACAACATGCACACAAGTAATGTAGCAGTACAGATATAATTAAAGCATAAAACACATTGAAGCAACAATGAAATTCAAAGTTCTCTACCGAAGAACATTTAAAATAAAAACAGTGATTCAAGAGCAAAGAGAATGAAATAAAAACTTTAGTTTTAACTTTGTAAAGACCTCAGATAATAACTTGTGGTACTGAAGGGAAATATGTCCACTGGTTCCTGTCTCCGTCCAGGTGAGTCTCCCTCTGGTTTTACTTCATCTGAAGAAGATCACATGAAGTTATTCCTCAGAAATGGAAGCAGGAAGTTGTTTTGAGTTGCAGCAGACTGACACCTGGCTGACCTTCACACCTGGTCCTCCTGCTCCTCTGGGTCTTCTCTCTGTGCTGCCATGTCTGAGAGGTCCTCATACTCAGGATGAAGGTCCATCTGATGGAGAGACGATGAGAGTCAAAGGCCTCAGAGAAGCAGTTCAGATACAACCGACCCTCGGCTAAGCCCCTCCCCCAACGCACACTGTACATTCCTACGTTAGCAACCGTAACTAGGGACCAGAGGCCTTTAGAGGGTTGATGTCACTTATGGATTAAACATGTGGAAGACTGAATCCATCAACGATCAATAAAAACTCCTTTGTTTGCTCCGAGGTAAGATGCTAATAGCGTTAGCTAGCTTAGCATGACAGTCGAATATGAATTATTCTCATTAATGTGTAAGAAACATAAATCTGTCACCCAGGAGATCCTTGTTTGTTCCTGGTGTGAAACAAGTACAACTTTGTCTCGTGACTTCAGTACTTTAAATTAGTTATTTTAACGCTAACTAATATTTATTCCTAAACTCTGGTAGTTTTGTTGCCTGAACTTAACCAAGTATTTCATAATCTTTTCCTAAATGTGCTTCTGGTGAAGACACAAGCGTATTTAGTAAAAGTCTGTATGACTGAAATGTAAACGTTGCTGGTTTGCATCCCGACATTTCACCGCCATGTTTACGCGCTGTGATGCTGAAGCTGGACAGACCTGGCAACAGTAACCAAGGGGAGGGGCTTAGCTGATGGTCAATACGACTCTTTGTCCTTTAAATCGCTCTTTGGATTCAAAGGACATCGCAGTAAACGTGGTAAATAAATA